ACACACACACACACACACACACACACACACACACACACACACACACACACACACGAAGCAGCCCGTAACAGCTGTCTAACTCCCAGGTACCTATTTACTGCCAGGTGAACAGACGCATCAGGGTGAGAAAAAACTCTGCCCATTCGTCTCTGCCGACTCCGGGAATCGAACCCGAGCCACAGGATTACGAGACCCGCGCGCTGTCCACTCAGCTACCGTACCCGTGTAGAGGGCTTATGTGAGAGTGTGAGTATGTGAGCGTCAGAGATTGTGTAAGAATGAGAGATTGTATGAATATGAGAGTTTGTGAGCGTGAAAGGTTATGTGAGAGTGAGAGATTGTATGAGGTCATTGCCTTCATCTGACCTGACCTCTCGTGAGGTTCTCTCCCTTTTGTTATTCTCTGTCTCTCTCTTCTTTCAGTTTCTTTCACCCTATGCCCCTGTTACCTAGCACTAAAATAGGTACCTGGGTGTTAGTCAGCTGTCACGAGCTGCTTCCTGGGGGTGGAGGCCTGGTCGAGAGGACACTAAAAACCCCGAAATCATCTCAAGATATAACCTCCTCCTTACCACATTAATGATGAGTTAGACCAAAACAAAGTCCAGTTTCCCTCGTGTTTGGCTTGTGTTCTATACTATATTATTGTCCTCCACATTTTGAAGGATATATGTGTCTGATTTCGGTCTTTGCTTTAGTGCAGTCTCCCTTATTGATTTTCTGAAGACTGGTATATTTTTGTACGATTTCGAACTCTCAGGCAGGTTTCCTCTCAATAATGTTATTATTTATTTATTTATTTATTTATTTATTTATTTATTTATTTATTTATTTATTTATTTATTTATTTATTTATTTATGCATATACAAGAAGGTACATTTGGATCGTGAGGATACATAATATGGTAATTACAATCTTGTAAAACCACTGTTGTATGTTGTATTGTTGTTGTATACTAATGTATAATGTTGTATACTAATGTTGTATTGTCCTTCGTTAACTGTCTACGGTGGATCTTCACAACTGTTTCGTTATAAAGGCGCGATTTATCTGGCCGCAGACCGCTGTGTCCACTGCCTCCAAGTCTGCTGAGGAGGCTGGACGTGAGGAGTAGCAAAGAGAAGGAAGGAGAGGAGGAGGCAGAGGAGAGGAGTTGGGGGGGAGGAGGAGAAAGTGAAGGGGAACTGGACGGTGTTGGAAGATGAGGAGGTACACAGACCACAACACAGCAAGGTGTATCAGTTCATGAGGCGACCCTCTGTCTTCAAGGGCGGCCCAACATGCTCTACACTCCCCCCTCCCTCTCCCTTACTCCCCCCCCCCACAGTGTGTGTGTGTGTAAATGTAACACATTCCACCTGGTCATACATGTATCTCTTGCCTACACACACCCCTAACTCCACTCCCACACACGTTGAGCTCCGCCCCTGCCTACCTTACACTCTCTGCCTACCCCACACTCTCCCTGCCTACCCCACACTCTCTCTGCCTACCCCACACTCTCCCTGCCTACCCCACACTCTCTCTGCCTACCCCACACTCTCCCTGCCTACCCCACACTCTCCCTGCCTACCCCACACTCTCCCTGCCTACCCCACACTCTCTCTGCCTACCCCACACTCTCCCTGCCTACCCCACACTCTCCCTGCCTACCCCACACTCTCTCTGCCTACCCCACACTCTCTCTGCCTACCCCACACTCTCTCTGCCTACCCCACACTCTCCCTGCCTACCCCACACTCTCTCTGCCTACCCCACACTCTCCCTGCCTACCCCACACTCTCCCTGCCTACCCCACACTCTCTCTGCCTACCCCACACTCTCTCTGCCTACCCCACACTCTCCCTGCCTACCCCACACTCTCTCTGCCTACCCCACACTCTCCCTGCCTACCCCACACTCTCCCTGCCTACCCCACACTCTCTCTGCCTACCCCACACTCTCTCTGCCTACCCCACACTCTCCCTGCCTACCCCACACTCTCTCTGCCTACCCCACACTCTCCCTGCCTACCCCACACTCTCCCTGCCTACCCCACACTCTCCCTGCCTACCCCACACTCTCCCTGCCTACCCTACACTCTCCCTGCCTACCCCACACTCTCCCTGCCTACCCTACACTCTCCCTGCCTACCCTACACTCTCCCTGCCTACCCCACACTCTCCTGCCTACCCTACACTCTCCCTGCCTACCCTACACTCTCCCTGCCTACCCTACACTCTCCCTGCCTACCCCACACTCTCCCTGCCTACCCCACACTCTCCCTGCCTACCCTACACTCTCCCTGCCTACCCTACACTCTCCCTGCCTACCCTACACTCTCCCTCTATGCCCTCCACTCTACCACACTCATTGACATCTATAAGACTGGATGATCTCACCGGATGATTCCGTAAAGGAAGCTCCCATATATGGCGCATCTTAACTGCTCTCTCTGCGTCTACAGTTACTCCGCACGCCCACACTGCCTCAGACACACCCGCCCACACTCCCTCACTCCTTGAGGGAGTGAGGGCGTGAGTGTGTGTGAGTATGTGAGTGTGAATAGACTTATATCAAGATTTATGAAAATAAACACAGAGGAATACCGCAGGACGCTACAGGAGGAGCTGCACATACTCAGAAAACGGTCTTAAAAGTGGCTTATAGAGTTGAATGCAATAAGTGTAGATTATACCTCCTATGCACACGTTTACAGGGTAACATTAGCTTCATAAGGCTGGTGTTTATATGCAAAAGTGATAGTAAAAAGATAGAAACAGTCAGAGACACAGACAGCCAGAGACAGACACAGAGATAGGCGTGCAGTCAAACCGGGTCGACCAGGGCAAAGAGGGTGACGGGAAGATAACAGAAAAAACACAGACAGATAACAATGTAGAGACAGACAGGAGAGAAGGTAGAGGTGAGAGAGAAGGAGGAGAGATGTGAAGAGTGCAGAGGAGAGGGAAAGAGATAATTTTATTATTATTATTATTTTCTACCACAGACGTGGCCACACCTTTACAATGCTAACCATCACTTATACATTTTCTTCTGTCCTCCATGGACAGGGTGAGACAGCTGTTAAGCATACAGTTCAGTGATTTATTGAACAATCAACTACATAAGGTGATTGTTGAGAGGTGGAGATCGGGACAAACAAGAACACACCTGGTTACCTCCCTTGTATATATATATATATATATATATATATATATATATATATATATATATATATATATATATATATATATATATATATATATATATATATATATATCTATATATCTTAGTACATTCCCCTTGACACATCTGTAATTTATCAACGAGAAAGTTGCACAAATCACATTACTGAATACATGTTACCTTCCTTAACTGATCATGTCACCCGTTAATTCATTTATTCATGTTATTCATATTGATTCATAATTCATTTATTCATGCTTGTCAGATGAGCCCGGGTGCTCCAAAACACACACAAGCAATTGCAGATAAAGATTCAAAATTGCAGGCAAAGGATTAGTTACATAGAAGTCCGGGGTATTGTCCTAGCTCCATATATAGGCCCAGTTGCAGAGAATTCCTGATATAGGCCTAAATGCAAGGAATTCTAGGTATAGTAAACTAGAAATCATATATTATTCCTCATATAGGAAGGAATAATATATTCTTCTTTATTGTGAATTCACAATCATACAGTGATTGGGAATTCAAAATACAGTGGGTGAATTCAAAATACAGTGGGTGAATTCAAAATGTTGGTGCTTAGAATTCCAGGCACGGCAACGCTGACGTCCAGGTACAGTGACTGGGAATTCCATGCGGAATGACGAGGCATTCCAGGAACAGTAACGGGAAATTCCAGTCTGAATATCAACCCCACTTGATGGGGTTTGTTGGCGCGTGAGTATCGTACCCTGTTGCTAAGTTGTCGTACCTGCACACACACTGTTGTTATACCCTGTCTCTTGTCTCTCTCTCTCTCTCTCTCTCTCTCTCTCTCTCTCTCTCTCTCTCTCTCTCTCTCTCTCTCTCTCTCTCTCTCTCTCTCTCTCTCTCTCTCTCTCTCTCTCTCTCTCTGACCTGTGTGCAATGTCTTATATGTGGTGTCTGGGAGAGACACTTGGTACAAAAGTAATTATTTACACACCCGCTATTCGTGGCTGTACCTTAAGAACCTGTACCTTGGTTCTACAGCTCGGGTGCTCTTCCCTCTTTTCCCCTCTCCCTTCCTCTATCTCTAACCCTCCCTCTCTCCTTCTCACTCTTCCCTCCCTCTCTAAGAACATCTCATAAATGGCCATAGAGAGTTCGGTGAGGCTGGCCCTAAGCGTTTGGCCTCCTACCTTGGAAAGACGAAAACATAGACATTAATTTTTTTATAGATATATACATTGATAGGAAATTGTATATGATTTTACCCCTAGACATGTGTGTCTATATAAGTTATAGTCATAGGCACAGTCAAGGCATTTCATTATTTTCTGGACTTCGCTTATCCACAGGTTTAGGGATCAGCTGGAGCTCACCTGATTCTTACCGGCTTTAATTAAATCAATCAAGAATTTATCAGTTGGAATTGATAGACTGGGACGTCTCTCACCAGCTTGCACGCTCGAGAAGCTAGTTACTAAGACAGTTAACCTGCCACTTAGAGCAACGCCCTCGTTACTTGTAGGAGCGGCGTTGGTCCCCTGATGGTGCACGTGTACCTAACCTTCCCTCCGTCCCCGCTCCCTATCCCCGTGTCCCAGGTGCCTGTCCCCGTGTCCCAGGTGCCTGTCCCCGTGTCCCAGGTGCCTGTCCTCGTGTCCCAGGTGCCTGTCCCCGTGTCCCAGGTGCCTGTCCCCGTGTCCCAGGTGCCTGTCCCCGTGTCCCAGGTGCCTGTCCCCGTGTCCCAGGTGCCTGTCCCCGTGTCCCAGGTGCCTGTCCCCGTGTCCCAGGTGCCTGTCCCCGTGTCCCAGGTGCCTGTCCCTGTGTCCCAGGTGGTAATACTGGCCTTCTCATGACACATTACCTGCCAGGTGGCACCTTCGGCAGGTTGAGGGAAGACAGGAAGAAGCGGAGATACAGCTTCAAGGCGTCTGGAGGCTGCGGCGATGATGTGGCTGGGAGGAGCTGCACTCCTTGATGCTGAGTGCAAGACAACAGTCAACAGCTGGTTAGTTTGTGTCTGGCTGTGATTTACCTTCTAAACTCAAGCGCAGTTTACCGTGTAAACCGTCTCTCCATTTAGGGCTGGACACTCGGCCCAATTCCTGTCCTTCAGAATGTTGAATTGGGAAAGCAAAATTTGTCAAAAAATCAAAATGTTGGTAAACGTAAGCTTGTGAGTTGTTAAGTGTTAATGTCCCTGTTTGATAAGGTGTTCACTTGAGATGGTTAAGTCCCAGCTGTGTCTGGGTACAAGTGACAGGATGAACAACCCAGCGGGTTTTTTTCCTATTGGGGAGTGTTGTACATGCTGCTATGGCGGTGTGTCCAATCACAGGATGAGTGGCACTGCCCAATACTGTCACTATGGCGGTGTGTCCACTCACAGGATGAGTGGCGCTGCCCAATATTGTCACTATGGCGGTATAACCACTCACAGGATGAGTGACACAGCATAATAACGTGTGACGCTTTCCTATAAAAATCGCCCTTGAAACATCCCCCAAGTACTGATATAACTTCACTGTCCCCCAAGAGGCAATGAGCTCCCACAAACCCATCTTATACTGACGTATCTCCCCCTTGCAGGAGGCGCCCCAGCTCCTTGACGTCGATCCGGAGAAAAGGTAAGAAATTGCAACTACCCACTTTCTCACAATGACCGTGGATGGGGCCGCCGCCACAGGTATCACAGCGCAGGCCGGCGACCTCTGGTATTGTACCAGAGAGAGAGAGACCCTACTCCCACACAATGGTACAATGGTGCTACTCTTTGTTAGCCCTCACTGTGAGGGACAATGGTGGGGTGGATGTTGTGGGGAAAGAGGGGGAGGGAAGGGAGGGAGGGGTAGTTTTAGTAGTAGTGAATATGGTGGGAATTGATGGTAGAGAGGCTTAATGGTGGTTGGGAAGACCGAGTTGTGGTTTTAAAGCTAATTAGGGTGCAGTAGACGGGAGTGAAGGGGGGGGGGGGGTTGAGGTATTAGTGGTGGGGGTGGTGTTGGTGGTGCAAGTGTTAGAGGTGGGTATGTCTGTGGTGGTGTTGATAATACATATGCTGGAGAACACATATACATGGGTCAGAAGCGCACATGAAGAGCCACATTGGTCCAGAAGGCCTTAGACCATTATAAATATTGTATGTTTCGCTCAAATTCTTTTGAGTGATCTCTTAACCCATTAAAATTCAGCTGTATGTAAGTGTTTACCTGCAAGCACACTATTACTCCTCCTGAACACGAGGAATATACAAATTCTCCAATTAGTCTAGCGGGATTCGACCCTGGCTCTCAGAATGGCAGGTACGTTGGTACCCAACACCACAACCATGAGTGGGGAGCCATGGGGGAGCAGGGTGAGGGTGGGGAGCAGGGTGAGGGTGGGGAGCAGGGTGAGGGTGGGGAGCAGGGTGAGGGTGGGGAGCAGGGTGAGGGTGTGGAGCAGGGTGAGGGTGTGGAGCAGGGTGAGGGTGGGGAGCAGGGTGAGGGTGGGGAGCAGGGTGAGGGTGGGGAGCAGGGTGCGGGTGGGGAGCAGGGTGAGGGTGGGGAGCAGGGTGAGGGTGGTGAGCAGGGTGAGGGTGTGGAGCAGGGTGAGGGTGTGGAGCAGGGTGAGGGTGGGGAGCAGGGTGAGGGTGGGGAGCAGGGTGAGGGTGGGGAGCAGGGTGAGGGTGGGGAGCAGGGTGAGGGTGGGGAGCAGGGTGAGGGTGGGGAGCAGGGTGAGGGTAGGGAGCAGGGTGTGGTGTGTGGGCAGGGTGAGGGTGTGGAGCAAGGTGAGGGTGGGGAGCAGGGTGAGGCTGGGGAGCAGGGTGAGGGTGTGGAGCAGGGTGAGGGTGTGGAGCAGGGTGAGGGTGGGGAGCAGGGTGAGGGTGGGGAGCAGGGTGAGGGTGGGGAGCAGGGTGAGGGTGGGGAGCAGGGTGAGGGTAGGGAGCAGGGTGTGGTGTGTGGGCAGGGTGAGGGTGGGGAACAGGGTGAGGGTGGGGAGCAGGGTGAGGGTGTGGAGCAGGGTGAGGGTGGGGAGCAGGGTGTGGTGTGTGGGCAGGGTGAGGGTGTGGAGCAGGGTGAGGGTGGGGAGCAGGGTGAGGGTGGGGAGCAGGGTGAGGGTGTGGAGCAGGGTGAGGGTGGGGAGCAGGGTGAGGGTGGGGAGCAGGGTGAGGGTGGGGGAGCAGGGTGAGGGTGTGGAGCAGGGTGAGGGTGGGGAGCAGGGTGAGGGTGAGGAGGAGCAGGGTGAGGGTGGGGAGCAGGGTGAGGGTGGGGAGCAGGGTGAGGGTGGGGAGCAGGGTGAGGGTGGGGAGCAGGGTGAGGGTGGGGAGCAGGGTGAGGGTGGGGAGCAGGGTGAGGGTGGGGAGCAGGGTGAGGGTGGGGAGCAGGGTGAGGGTGGGGAGCAGGGTGAGGGTGAGCAGGGTGAGGTGGGGAGCAGGGTGAGGGTGGGGAGCAGGGTGAGGGTGGGGAGCAGGGTGAGGGTGGGGAGCAGGGTGAGGGTGGGGAGCAGGGTGAGGGTGGGGAGCAGGGTGAGGGTGGGGAGCAGGGTGAGGGTGGGGAGCAGGGTGAGGGTGAGCAGGGTGAGGGTGTGGAGCAGGGTGAGGGTGGGGAGGGTGAGGGTGAGGGTGGGGAGGAGCAGGGTGAGGGTGGGGAGCAGGGTGAGGGTGGGGAGCAGGGTGAGGGTGTGGAGCAGGGTGAGGGTGGGGAGCAGGGTGAGGGTGGGGAGCAGGGTGAGGGTGGGGAGGATCAGGGTGAGGGTGGGGAGCAGGGTGAGGGTGGGGAGCAGGGTGAGGGTGGGGAGCAGGGTGAGGGTGGGGAGCAGGGTGAGGGTGGGGAGCAGGGTGAGGGTGGGGTGCAGGGTGCGGGTGGGGAGCAGGGTGAGGGTGGGGAGGACCAGGGTGAGGGTGGGGTGGAGCAGGGTGAGGGTGGGGAGCAGGGTGAGGGTGGGGAGGGGTGAGGGTGGGGAGCAGGGTGAGGGTGGGGAGCAGGGTGAGGGTGGGGAGCAGGGTGAGGGTGGGGAGGCAGGGTGAGGGTGGGGAGCAGGGTGAGGGTGGGGAGCAGGGTGAGGGTGGGGAGCAGGGTGAGGGTGTGGAGCAGGGTGAGGGTGGGGAGCAGGGTGAGGGTGGGGAGCAGGGTGAGGGTGTGGAGCAGGGTGTGGGTGTGGGCAGGGTGAGGGTGTGGAGCAGGGTGAGGGTGGGGAGCAGGGTGAGGGTGTAGAGCAGGGTGAGGGTGGGGAGCAGGGTGAGGGTGGGGAGCAGGGTGAGGGTGTGGAGCAGGGTGAGGGTGGGGAGCAGGGTGAGGGTGTGGAGCAGGGTGAGGGTGGGGAGCAGGGTGAGGGTGGGGAGCAGGGTGAGGGTGGGGAGGCAGGGTGAGGGTGGGGAGGCAGGGTGAGGGAGGGGAGGCAGGGTGAGGGTGTGGAGCAGGGTGAGGGTGGGGAGCAGGGTGAGGGTGTGGAGCAGGGTGAGGGTGGGGAGCAGGGTGAGGGTGTGGAGCAGGGTGAGGGTGGGGAGCAGGGTGAGGGTGGGGAGCAGGGTGAGGGTGGGGAGCAGGGTGAGGGTGGGGAGCAGGGTGAGGGTGGGAAGCAGGGTGAGGGTGTGGAGCAGGGTGAGGGTGGGGAGCAGGGTGAGGGTGGGGAGCAGGGTGAGGGTGGGGAGGCAGGGTGAGGGTGGGGAGGCAGGGTGAGGGTGGGGAGGCAGGGTGAGGGTGGGGAGCAGGGTGAGGGTGGGGAGCAGGGTGAGGGTGTGGAGCAGGGTGAGGGTGGGGAGCAGGGTGAGGGTGGGGAGCAGGGTGAGGGTGGGGAGCAGGGTGAGGGTGGAGGAGCAGGGTGAGGGTGGGGAGCAGGGTGAGGGTGTGGAGCAGGGTGAGGGTGGGGAGCAGGGTGAGGGTGGGGAGCAGGGTGAGGGTGGGGAGGACAGGGTGAGGGTGGGGAGGCAGGGTGAGGGTGGGGAGGCAGGGTGAGGGTGGGGAGCAGGGTGAGGGTGGGGAGGCAGGGTGAGGGTGGGGAGGGTGAGGGTGAGGGAGGGGAGGACAGGGTGAGGGTGGGGAGGCAGGGTGAGGGTGGGGAGGCAGGGTGAGGGTGGGGAGGCAGGGTGAGGGTGGGGAGCAGGGTGAGGGTGGGGAGCAGGGTGAGGGTGGGGAGCAGGGTGAGGGTGGGGAGGCAGGGTGAGGGTGGGGAGCAGGGTGAGGGTGGGGAGCAGGGTGAGGGTGGGGAGCAGGGTGAGGGTGTGGAGCAGGGTGAGGGTGGGGAGCAGGGTGAGGGTGGGGAGGCAGGGTGAGGGTGGGGAGCAGGGTGAGGGTGGGGAGGCAGGGTGAGGGTGGCGAGGCAGGGTGAGGGTGGGGAGGCAGGGTGAGGGTGGGGAGGCAGGGTGAGGGTGGGGAGGCAGGGTGAGGGTGGGGAGGCAGGGTGAGGGTGGGGAGCAGGGTGAGGGTGGGGAGCAGGGTGAGGGTGGGGAGGAGCAGGGTGAGGGTGGGGAGCAGGGTGAGGGTGGGGAGCAGGGTGAGGGTGGGGAGCAGGGTGAGGGTGTGGAGCAGGGTGAGGGTGTGGAGCAGGGTGAGGGTGTGGAGCAGGGTGAGGGTGGGGAGGCAGGGTGAGGGTGGGGAGCAGGGTGAGGGTGGGGAGGCAGGGTGAGGGTGGGGAGCAGGGTGAGGGTGGGGAGGCAGGGTGAGGGTGGGGAGGCAGGGTGAGGGTGTGGAGCAGGGTGAGGGTGGGGAGCAGGGTGAGGGTGTGGAGGAGAATCTCATCAGTAATAGAGACCACAATTGCCAGGTGCTCCTGCTTCGCTTAACGGGATACAGACCGGATAAGCAAGCACACTAAATAGATAACCGGCCGTGGGAACCGGTTCCACTGTGTGGCGAGCTATGCGTGCCGGCTCATGTGTGTGACCCTACACATACGCGCACGCGCGCATACACACATGCGCACACACACATGCTTGGCATTATTGTGCCTCAACAGGTTCAACAAATAGTTCAGGGATGGCAAATTATACCTCACAGGAA